GTTGGGAGGGTATGGCTACCAACAGCCGTAGTGCGTACTCTGGATCCATTACCAACAGTGATATATAATGGTGAATTTAAAGCTTGAGAAGAGACATGAGAAATAGTACCTGGGTCAGATGAGATGTGGTGGGAGGCACCGGTATCCATAAACCAAGTCGGCTCGCAGAGGGACATTGTGTCAAAATGATGTGCTAAGGCCGTGGGGTTGAAGGTTTGGGTGGCGGGGTAGGTAGGGTTGTCGCTGGGGGACGGCACTGCCTTGGGTTGGGTGGGGTGATATGGCTGCGGGTAAGGGTTTGGGTGAGGAGAGAGGTACGGGTGGGGGGAGGGTGGGGTTGGGGATGTGGTGTGATAGGCGTAGGCTTGATAGGGGTGGGGTGAGGGGGTGGGCCATGGGCCCAGTAGCCCCGGGTTGGGATTCGGGTGAGGTGAGTTCCAGGTATTATAGCCATTGGTGGGTGGTCGTTGCCTCGATCCGTTGGAGCTGCCACGTCTGCGACCTCGGCCCCGGTTTCCACCGCCCCGTCCGTGACCTCGCCCATAGCCGCTGCGCTGTCCCAAGGAGCCGTCGCCGTAGCCGCTGCCAAAACCGCCCTGGTGCCCGCCAGTGTAGCCGCTGCCCTGCGGCGTGGGGTTGCTGCCGTAACCCCCAGTTGAAGAGCTGCCCGAACGTGCAACGAGGGCTGTAGTCCCGTGGTTGTCTAGTGGGGATAGTTTCCGTTCCAACAGAAGAAGAGCGGATCGGGCTTGTAGGAACGTGGGCAGCGGGTCCTGAAACTGGAGGAACGAAGTTTGAGCCTGAAGATCCTCCGGCAGTCCGCGTAGCATCTGAAGTACGAGTTGATTTTGGGATACCGGCGCATCAACATCGTTTAGCCAATCGGCGATGTTGAAGAGATTTTGACAATAAGTAGCCATGGGAGTGTTCCCTTTGACGGTAGTACGGAATTGGTTCTCGAGTTGCATGGCACGAGCGTGTTTATTGTCGTGAAAGAGATCATGAATCACCTTCCAGAGAGAAGCTGCAGAGGTGGTGGAAGAGATGACAAGGTCCGAAACCTCGTCGGTGATGGTGGAGAGAATCCAGCCTTGAAGAAGAGCGTCCAGTTGAAACCATTCATCGTCGCCGTCGGAGGTAGGGACGACGGTGCCAAAGATGTAACCATGAAGATTGAAGCGCCGAACAAGTAGAAGAAACAATCGGCTCCACTTTTTGTAATTGGGTTGAGAAAAACTTAGTTGAATGGGGACATGGAGTTTGACATTAGAGATGGTGGTGAAGGCATGCAAGATGTGGAGATTTAGAGGTGGTGTTTGGGGACGTGACGTCGCTGTCCGTCATGGTGATTGGGGAAGGGTGCCGCCGACGGAGGTTGCCGAGAGAGAGAGAGAGAGATCAGCGGCTGTGAGAGGAGGAGCCGAGAGAGGCTGGCGCAGGAGGAAGAAGAAGTTTTTAGGGTTTATGTGGCTCTGATACCATGTAGAAAGAATATTTTCATTAATGAATTATGGTGATTACATGTGAATATATACTAGGAGTCTCAATCCTAATTATGGTAGGAGAGACGTAGTAGGAAGGTGATACAATTATGGTAACAATATAATACACTAATATTAAATATATAAATAATATATTTAACAAAAAGTCGTGGCCGGCCGGGAGGAGCCTAAACGGGTATATGTTGCCAAAACTCATCCAGCCTTCTGGTTCTATCATTCCCGAACCCAAAACCCTGCCCCCCTTGTACCAGTTAGTTCTCCCGATGATCCCATAGCCCCTGTCATTTCCTCCTCTGATACCACTACTAGCTGTCCTTAAAAATCCTACTGATGATCCCGGCCATAAGCACCCCCATTCCTTTGACCGAACCCAGCCCTTTGAATCTCCCCTACAACCTCTACTCATCCCACATCCCATGAGAGTTCCCAAACACAAAACCCCCTGGGGCCCATGCAAACCCAAACCCAATTACATGTATGTAAGTCCCATGCAAACCCCCTGCGATCGCCAAACCAAAACCCTCCCAGCAACTCCCATGCAAAACCCCTCGTCCACTCCCATGCAAAACATTCCCCAAACCCATTCTCCCATGCAAAACCCACTGCCAAACCCTTCCCAAACCCAAAATCCATCTCCTGCATGTTCAAACCAACCTACGGTTCCCATGCAAAAATTATCCGATCCCCACCCTCTACGTACCCAAACAACAAACCTTCCCCAAACACACGTAACCCATGCAAACCCTATCCTCCCTACAGCCACAAACCCTCCTTCACCAATACTAGGCCCATCTCCCGTGCGCACGTACATATGGTGAGCAAGGCTTCCCGGTGGATGCAAATGGTTGCATCATCCCGGGGTGATGCTGATTATATGGACTTGGTAGCTTTGCAGGTACGTGCATGGGAGGTCTTGGTTAACAATCAAACATTTGTGTCGGGTGCCTTTGCACGTCATCCCAATTTGAAATTTGCCGTGGACTGGGCTGCTAAGGAAATGAGGAAGCTACGCTCTCTTCAGACTGATAAGACACATGTTGAGGACACCCCGGAGGCCACGGCGCACGCTGTCTCGGACTCCTCTCCGGCCAATCGTGCTATTGAGCTTTATGGAGAGATTCATTACTAGCCAGTAGATGAGCAAGGTTTTATTATCCCGGTCACTAAGCTAAGAATGACGAGGATTATCATTCAATGAAGGTTTTGAAGAAGCGTGCTTTGGATCTTCTTTGTAAAGATCGAAACGCTGATTTCAAGGAGGTGGATTATGCACGTCACCCAGCGCTGAAAGAAGCCATGGGATGGACTTATCTCAAGACTTCCATGGATCACTTAGATGAGGTCTTTGGGTCTGCATTTTCCTAGCCTTCGGGCCACATTTCCTATCCTTTGGGGACCTTTTGTTTAGCCTTTGGGCCTTCATCTTTCATCCTTTTTAAACCTTTTGTTTTAGCATATTTTCTTTCTTTACTTAGTGGGTGAGTGGGAGTTATGTTCCCTCCCCCTTATCTTTTATTTCATTTACTTTGCTTTTAGGGTGAGTTGGAGATTTGTTCCTTCCACCCCTTTCTTTATTTATGCGAATAAAACTGTTTTTTCTTTTTTTAAAAAAAGAAGAGGGTATAAATAAGGAGAATCAGGGCTAGGGTTTCCGACTAATGGGCCGGCCCAACCACTACAAAAAAATCGCGAATTTGTGAAGGACGTTTGTGAAGGATGTTACAGTAACTACCGTTTGTGACGACATAGTGGCGAATTTGCGACGGAAAAAGGCTCAAAAAGTTACCATCGTGAAAAGCCTACTTTGTGATGGATGGAGCCGTAACAAAATCCGTCCCAAGGACAACGGTGTGTGTTCCGTTATGAAAGCCGTAACAGTTACTTATTTGTCGCCTTATTTGTCATCACAAAAAGCCTTCACAAAATCAAAACTTCCGTATGACGTCTTAAAGGTCGTCACAAACGCCTTCACAATATCAATTTTTGAATTTGTGACGGATCATATTACAAACAATGGTTATATATATATATATATATATATATATATATATATATATGTATGTATGTATGTATATATGTATATGTGTATGAACTCCATTGGGGATAGTTTTTTAGAACCAAAAAGCAGACAAAATCTTTTTTATTTCTGATTGTATTGTGTTCCTTCGGTAGCATTATCATTGTTAAGGTACGTTAAACCGTTTTATACAAATGAATATTCATTAATAAATTTATATATACTCTGTGTATTGATTTCTTAAAAGCTTTTCATTTGACTCTTTACAGTTTCAAATCAATATTTTGATCATCAATATCTTTATTTATATAATGATACATAGTATAATAATACAAAATTTCAAAAGTATGATTCAAATTAAAATGAAATTATTGTTATAAAAATTATATCACAATTTAACTTTTTTTTTTGCAATTTGTAATCAAAATTTAAAAAATTTACTATGAAAATTAAATAGAGAAATTTCAAATAGGGGGGGGGGGATAAAGTATCATTTAAGTACTATTACAATTATAAAATATGGATCTTAAAAAAATTTAGCTTTTTTAAAAAGCATTAGAATTTCGAAAATTTAAATAAACCTTTCTATAGATTTAATTTCACAAACATTTTATTTTCAAAAACAAATGCTAAGTATTTCTCCGTTTTACTATTGTGAAACATTAAGTACAATTAAAATATTATTGAAAATTGCAATTTGTGGCGGCGCTATACCTCACAAATCCTTCACAATATGTTTCATCCCGAGAGCCACGTGATAAGTGAAAACACCAAAGTCTTATAGCTACCAATGTGTTGAATACTGTGTAGTTGAGGCGAGGTGGAAACTTCATTTTGCATTGAATGCATGCCTCGGTTTCATTACAAATTCACACAAAATAATAGTACTAATAATTGCACCTATATTAACATTACTTAAGGAATTGTAATAAATTATTCATTAAAAATCAAGAAACTTCAAACCCAAATCTAACAATTTACCAAGTCATAACACTGTCAAATACTCTGTTGTAAATTCAAGTATAACATAATAGCAACTATTGCCTGTTGCGGAAAAGTTCAAAATCCATCAAGTAGAGGAATGGAAACTATTACCAAAAATAAGATTCGAACACAATTTTGAACGCTGATAGCTAATATTACATGCAGTTTGCTGATATATGATACAGAGTATTTGATTATGTAATTTCTATACCTACCTGCAATATACATGCGTGTGTAGACCACTTATTTTTTTTAATGCATGTTTTTGTCTTTGGTTATCAGCCTAAAAGCTATAGAGAAGGCAATTGTCAATTCTGATCTTGGTATGACTCCAAATTCTGATGGAGAAGTAATAAGATTAGCTCTCCCTCAATTAACATCTGAAAGGAGGAAGGTGTGTATATCTATTTCTTAGTAAATGTATTGTCTTGAATTCTTGATGATGTAAATTTTATGCTTAAGATTATTCCATATGGAAATTCACAATCTTGTGACTGCAATCTAAGATTGCTACACAAGATGATGATTTTTACGCGTAGTGTTATGCTTTCTTAAATCCATTGTCAATGGATCTAAAAGAGTCATTATCCCCATTGTTTTATCATTGGCCACATAGTGGACTAAATCAAAATGGAACATTTAACTTCCTTTGGCTTCTTAACTTCTATGATGTTTTGGGCAGTAAATGCAGCAACGCATCTAGGCTGTAGAAGAAACAGCAATATCCTCTCTGATTTTTTTACAGGGGCAAGACTATGAACATCTTGAACCCCCAAGACCCCAACGGAGTTGGGATTATATTAGGTTGTTGTTATAGTGTGTTTCCAATTGTAAAGTTCTTACGTGGGCTCTACTCCCTTGTTTTAGTCTCCCGTTGTCCCACAACTAAATTGAGGGTTTGACTTCATAGAGTTTAAGAAAAGTGTTGAAAAGTAAAATTTATGGTTGATATTTGTTCATAAGATAGGAATACTGTGAGTCACATATACCTATCCTAAAAAGGAAATGGATAAGTGTAAAGTTTATTTTGGGATGAACACAAAAGTAGGGAGTATCTACCTAGTTGAGTTGGTTCGAGCCTATGTTTAGCTTTTCCATATGATACAATTCGAGTTTTTTAATCTCCAATTGGTCAATTAAATGTATCATTCTAAGCTTGTAACATGATTTTGTATCATTATTTTCCATTGCATAGGAGTTGTCAAAAGTTGTGGCCAGGCAAGCTGAAGAAGGGAAGGTACTATTTCATGGTTTTAACAACCATATGTTCCTATTTTCCTATTAATATAACTTTATAGTAAATGATTCTCTTATCTATGTTGAATTAATGTCCCTTTGGGAGGCTTGAGGTTTCAGTGGCATAGAAGAGTGTTTCTTTTCTTTGCAGACAATTTTTTTTTGAGAGAAAATCTTTTGCTCAGTGTCAAGAACCAACTCAACCAAAAACTCAAACTTGTGGTTGTATGCCCAAGAAAGGATATATACTCTAACATGCCCCCTCATATGTAGGCGAGATTTATTTTTGCTCGAGCCTTACACGTGAACATTAATTTTTAAAAAATGGGTGGCGGTGAGTTTTGAACTCGGGGCATCTTGGTCAGCAAGGCTTTGATACAATGTCAAGGAACCAACTCAACCAAAAGCTTAAGCTTGTGATTGTAGGCCCAGAAACAGATATACTCTAACACTCAGAAAATAAGCTTTACTCTACAATTAGGGTATATGTTTATACTCTCTGTGATATTACGTACATAACTGCTACTTTACTACTTTGTATGATTTAACAGCCACATATTTTGTCAGTATCACTCCCTCTGTGGGTAAACAAAGGTTCCACATCTTTTTTGGTTTGTCCCGAAATAGGATTTCACTTTCTTCTCAAGGAGAAATTGTGTGGTTCATGTTATTTTTCTACTCTCTACATAAAGCTCAATGACATTATTTCACCTTTATTAAGAGTCAAATGTGGAACCTTATTCTTGTGCAGAGGGTGTAGAAACTATAGATATCAAGTGTCTAATATTCTGCATTACACATACTCCTATGTTGTTTCAACTTTTCTCCTGTATAAAATCCAAATGTTGCAAGCTACTGTCAAATATTACTGTCCCAAATATAAGCTGCTTAAATCATACAGAATATGGTACGAGACATAAAAATTGGGACAATGAAAAAAAGGAACAAAAGTAGTGGGTCAGATGGAATAATAGGTTAGTGAATGTCATGAAAAGTTTTCATCATTTCTTTTTCAAGACATCAAATATTCACTAATTTTCAGTACTCGCATTGTGAGCTGCAAACCTCCTTTAATCATTTCTTAGGGTGAATATTTTACTGAAATTGTAGGTTATATAAGGTCCTATTAATTAACCCGTGACTATTCATATTCCATGTTGTAATTAACTCCCATCAATGTCTCCTTTTGCATGTTTCATACGTTCATTGGATCATGAGTTTACTTTGTTAAGAATAGAGTATTTGTTAAGAATAGAGTAGCCAAATGTGTTCCCTTTTTATACACTTCTAGTTCGCACCCTTTCGACATCCATTGAAACTATTTTTTATAGTCCTTGTTGCTTACATTGTATAGGTTGCTTTAAGGAACATAAGAAGAGATGCTGTCAAATCGTATGAAAAACTTGAGAAGGTTTTTGAATCTTTTGATTCTCCCCCCTTTTATCATTTGAGATGTTACTTCTATTGGTAACTTCTTAGTCATATCATCTCAGGAGAAAAAACTCTCTGAAGACAATGTAAAGGATCTGTCTAATGATTTACAAAAAGTTACTGATGAGTATATTAGGAAGATCGATGCAATCTATAAGCAGAAGGAGAAGGTAATATTTGGTTAGATATGGTTGCATTTTTAACTCATAAAATTATCATTAATATTGTGATTAGTTGAGAAAAATTAGTTTGAGTTATATGCATGATGTTTTTGCTTACTCATGATTCCTTGGGAAGTTGGGAGTTCTGGAGTAATTAGTAAAACTCATATACTAAACTGAAGAACAAGTAAATGTTGAAAATTGACAACAAAAAAGCTCTGAACATTTGCAACGTATCACCAATGGGTGGCAATGCACTGCAAATGCTTGGTGTCCTGGGGAGTGGGTCCTTCCAGTCGGCAATACATTGCAGGTGTCTGGGGAAGTATAACATTTGCCTGATGATTGACCGGAAACATTCTGGCACTCGGCAATATGTTGTCATACCCGAAGTCTAGCAAATTGTTTGCTCCAATGCTTGGTGGCATACCGTCGAATTTCGTGTCTTGCCACATTTCATTTAACTCTTGCATTCTGAACTTATTAGGTTTTTTGGCATGAAGCCAATGTTTTGAAATAATTTCCTAAGCTTTTGCACTGTTTTTATTTTACTCCGATAGATGTTTTATAGAAATTTCAAAGGGGCAGGGGCAGGCCGACCCACTAACTCATGTGTTTGGGTTATGCAAGTTGGGGT